GAAATTCCACTCTCTCCATTCTAGAATAGAGCATGGAAAGAGCCATGAGCTTTAGCTGCTGGTTCTCATAAAATGCCCCGGTACTTACATTGCTCCTTCTAGCGGTGGCAAGAATGGAGCTGAGACTCCTTGTTAGATGAAAGATTTTCACGACTCCTGGACTAATTCTGCTGCTGTTGAAGTTGGCGGCGAAGATTCCATTAATTTCACTGGCAGTAGGATCAGAACCTTAGAAAAGACATCAAGGAAGAGGATGATATAAATCTATAATTTAAAAATTATTAGGATCTGTGGGATGAAGCCAGAGTTTGAATTGGTTAGTCTTTTAAAAAAACAAACAAACAAAAAACCCACCAACTGCTTCTTCACTTCTCTCCCTTGCAGGAACTAGAAAACAAAAACTGAAAGAAGAGTCAAGGGATTTCATGTATCTTTAAGTCTTTAGATTTTTTTTTTTTAATGCTACATCCAAATATCCTAATTGCCTTGCAGAACCAATATCTAGTCAGGCTGGCCCCCTGCCTCAAGGAGTCACCAAACTAGAATTTAGACATGGCACAACTAGTGAGAGGGAGCACAAATTAGGGGACCTCAGGGCTGCTGTAGCTTATAGTGTGCTTCCAATGGCCCTAGGAAATAGATAACAGCTATAGTGCAGTTCACTTTAGCTATGCCCCCTCCATCAGGTACTGGGAATAGAGCCACCAACGCCAGCAGTACTCTGGCTACAGGATTATCTTTGCAGAGCAGGGATTCTCAGAAGGCTATTTCTGCCTACTTTCAGGCCCTTTATAGTGCCAGACTAGCATAAAATGGCCTTTGTATAACTGAGACTCAGGGCTCTAGAGTTCCAGGTTGGTTGCGTCTCTCTTATAGTAATGACCTGAAGTCAATTTTAAATATTGCCTTTGAAATACAATTTTATTTTGAAAAAATTATTAAATATTGTTTTCCCTCTGCCAAGTGGTAGCAGATGTCAGGCCATTGCACGTCAGTTTCCCATTGGAGTAGAAATCAGTAATGTGGAGTCTGGATATTTTCTTAGTGTAACTTGTCCATTTACACTCTATATGCCAGTCCTTGAACAGAGGTGGTCACAAACAACACCACATAGGCAATCCCCCCATTCATGAATGTCAGCCCAGACCCCAGTCAGTTCCCAGGAAGCAACTCTGTACTAAGGCCTGGTCTACACTAGGAATGTACATTGGTCTAGCTATGTCTCTCAGGGGTGTGAAAAATGTGTACGACCTACTCCGGTGTAGACAGAAGAATTATTCCGTCGACCTAGCTACCACCTCTCTGGGAGGCTGATTACCTACACTGATGGCATAACCACTCCCATCACTCTAGGTATTCTTAACACTGAAGTGCTATAGCAGCACCGCGGTACCGTTTTAAGTGTAAACATACCCCAAGAGTCTAGGCCTGACTCTAGTTAGATAGACTCCCCCAACATCTCCCCCCCAAAGGACATGCATCACAAACATATGAGTATAGCATTTCATCAGACTGTATAGCAATCGTATGCAAAGAAAAATAATTTACAAGATTATGTGTGACAGTGACATTTGGTGACTTTTATTATTAGTATGATTTATTACTTATATTACCATAGTGCCCATGAGCCCCAGTCATGGACTAGTACCTCACTGCTAGGCACTGTACAAATTTCTGCCATAACAATATCTTGTTTAATAATGATGTCGTATAAGAGATATAGGTCTGAGTCCTGCTCTTGCATTAATTGTAACCTGAGAAATCACTAGCTTTCAGTCCTACTGCCACAAGCTGGAACTTGTCTTATCTTATAAGGTTGGTCCTGAGTGACCACTTGGCTTGTATTTTAAAGGATGTTCCTTTTGGGGCTCCTAATGCGCTGCATCCGCTATTAAATCTCAAATGCACTTTAACTTGTATATAGGCAAAAATCATACCCCAGTTGTGTTCAGTTGCATGATTTTGTAATACAAACAAAATTTAGTATGCTATCTCTTGAAAAGAAGCTGTGTCCATGTTTCAAATCATCCATCCGTTAGCTCTTTGAAACATAGTTCATCACCCTAGCCTGGTCAGTAGACATGGAAGACGTGGAAGACCTCTGAGAAATATGTCTTGTGTACCTTTTTTTGAATTGGGGCTAGATAGAGTGGTTGCACTGACTCCAGCTCAGATCCACACATCCTTTCCTGTCTCTGCCTTGCTCCTGAGGGGGAATATTTTTTTCCTACAGCCCTTTACAGTGCACAGCATTTGCTCCTGTTCACTCCAAACCAGCTTGGTTGACCAATGGGTTGGTGAGGAGAAGCTCCACCCAATCCCAGCCAATTTGCTTGGCAGGAGGAGTAGCAGCTGTGCTTTAACATAACATAAGAATGGCTATACTGGGTCAGACCAATGGTCCATCTAGCCCAGATGCCTGTCTTCTGACAGTGGCCACTTAGATGCAGAGCCGTCCCATCCATAGGATGGACCGGGGCAACCGCCCCGGGTCCTGCACTTTGGGGGTCCCCATGCTTCAGGGGGATGTGAGGTCCAGGGTGGCCTGGGAGATTAGCGGGGGGCCTGGTGCCGGCAGCAGCGAGCGACCCCGCCCCAGCCTGCCCCGCCAGATCCCAGCGTCACTTGGAGGAGGGGGCGGAGGCTTGGAGGAAGGGGTGGAATTGGGGTGGGGATGGAGCAGGGGCAGGAAGAGGCGGGGCGGAGCAGGGGCAGGAAGGGGTGGAGTGGGGGCGGAGCCTGGGGCTGAGGCGGGTGGGGGGGTTGTCCCGGACCCCGCACCCCCGTAGGGATGGCCCTACTTAGATGTCCTGCATGGTACTTAAGAACAAGCAATAATCTGTCCTTTGTTGTTTATTTTCATATTTTTTAAAACTCTTTCTTTTAAAAGTGCTGTGCAACAATATTTGTTGTATTGTTAAGGCTATGATATTAATATTATGAAATATGTGTGTCAGGCTGTCTGGAGTGGTTCATGACCATGAGTGTCGACCTCAGGTATGTTCTATAAGTAGATTTCACCAACCCAGTAATAAATATGAACTCCTGAAGCACTACAAGTCTTACCATGGAGTCACAGGCAGTCCTCTTGGGCTCTCCAGTCTATCTTGCCACCCTGGAAAGCTGGACTTAGTAATAGTGGTTGCAATATACACCAAGGATCACAAAAGATTCAGGTTGCTTTCAGTCCCAAGAGACTAGTCACTTACCCCAGATCAATTTGTACCTTAGATCTCACACCAAAGACAATGATTGTAGCCAATCATATAATAAACTAACTATGGATTTATTAATTAGGAAAAAGAAATGAGCGAATTATTTGCAGGTTAAAGCGGGGAACATATATACACAAATGAGTTACTGTCTATGGTTCCAAAAGGTGACAGAGCAGTAATTATCTGTCAGCACTGTATGTCTTTTAGGGCTAACCCAGGTTAGCTTTTGTTTCTTAGCTCTAGTCCTGTGGGAGTCCAAACAGCAAACAGATGAAGAATTTTTATGTCACTATCTTTATTTCCTTCTTCCAGAATTCAAGCTGATGGGACGAGCTTTCTTGCGCATATCACCTTCATGGTGTAAGAGGGTCATTAACCCCATCTTTGTATCATGATGTTTCACTATGGCCCACTTAGTTTTGATAGTCCTTCTTGATGGGCTGGGGAACCACTCCTCCTGCCTGTGTTCACAAATTGAGAGCAGGCATTTTTACAGTTATAAAGCAAAACCTACATATTACCTTATAGCATGGGATACAGACGTTACGAGTAAGATTAATGCATGCAGCAACTAACCAGCATTTTAGAGTCTAAACATTAACACATCTTCACAAGTTCAACACCTATTTTGAACAATACTAACATACAGGTAAGTTGGTTCGGTTTCTATGTACGAGCTTGTCAGTGCTCAGCTGACGCCTAAAGCGTTGGCAAGAACTGGCACTTTCACAGGAACCTTGCCTCTGCCCCCTTGGACTTATATACTGTGACAGGGTCTTGAGTTACATAATCACACAATACTGTATAACAGGACATACTATTTGGCAAATAATATGGCGTACATAGCTGAGCTGTTGTCTGTAGCCATAGATGTACATATATACAGTAGTGTTCCATATTTATTACATAGATGAATGTTATTTGATCATGTAATATATTAGACATTAAAATAGTGTTCCATCTCAAGTGTTTTTAGAGGCATGTAGCATTGTGGTGTGTTTGATATAATGCAGATGAAGAAAGAAGAGTTAATATTAATATGAGACTTTAACTCTATTGCACAGATACAAGTGTCATATACACTAGGGCTGGTCTGCGCTACCAAGTAAATCCCCTTGTGTTGACCTGTTTGTGCATGGCTATACTCAACTTTGTGTCCAGCCAATGTAAATGCCCCGTTACATCAACACAGTAAAACCACCTCCCCGAACAGCATGGAACCATCATTAACCTACCGAGGCTGGTGCGGTGTGAGTGTAGATACTGCATGACCTGTATCAACCCTAACAGTCCTCCAGCAGCTGTCCCACAATGCCCCATTCTCTATAACAGTAACACTCTGTTCACAATTGCAAATTTAACTGCCCAGAAGTCACAGATCCTGGAAACTACCCCCACTTGGAAGCACCCCACATGTTTTTGAAATGCCTTTTCTTGATTGCTTACCTTGGTGAGCACACCTAGCAGCTCTCCCTTGTTGTATGCAACTGCCCAATCAACTGTTCCGGCACAATATAATAGATGTGCTCCTGCCTGGAGTAGACAGAAGTTATAGGATCTCCTGGCCCTGTGGGGAGAATTGGCTGTGGGAAGCACAGCTATAGACCAGTTGTAGAAATGTGGACATCTAAAATAGATTGCCTGGGGGATGCTGGCAAAGGGATATGACACGGATCAGTAGCAGTGCTGCATGAAAGCAAAGGAACTTGGCCAGGAATACAATAGATCTGGTGGTGCCCTGCAGATCTGCTGTTTTTACAATGAGCTGCATGCCATACTTGGCAGAGACCCCATCAGCATCCCACAGACTACAATGGATATCTCCGAGGAGCCTGAGACAGAGACTTCTGCTGTGAACGGTGAGGAAGAGGAGGAAGCAGAGGGGGTGGGAGCTCCAGCTATGCCGTGAGCCAGGACCTGTTCAAGACACCACCACAGTCTAGCCAATCCCACCAAGTGAGCATGGATGAACCTGATGAAGGAAAGAGAGTAAGTGCGTGCAAGCATTTTCCTTACAGTGTTTAAATTTAAATATGGCACCTGGCCCATCCCCAAGTTAACAAGATAAAGGTATCAACTTTTCATTCATTTACTTATATGAGAAGAAGTAAAGGTACAACAAACAGGTAAAGTTGGCATCTGGTTCTCATTCCCGTTGGGTTGGGCAGGGGATGCACAGCACTTTGTTTATGTACATGGGGGGGTCCTTTGTATCCTTCTGAGAGATCTCTATGAAACTTTTGTGGAGATTCTCTGCAATCCTCTTCTGAAGGTTTCTGGGGATGGCTGCCTTATATCTTCCTCCGCAGGAAGACACTTTCCCACACCACTCTGTGATTACTTTGGCTGGCATCATTGCAGTAAACAGGCTAGTGTCATGTGGGCCCAGGCAGCTTCAGTATGCCAGTAGCAGTTGTGTTCTCTGTGCCTTTGGATATGAGATATCAGCCAAAACCAACAGAACCTGTGGAAAATAGTTCCAGTATTCAGTGCCACTGCCCTATACTCAGACCCACGGGAACAGGAACTGAAATGTCACTTTCTTGCTTCATGCAACCGAAGTACCTTCTCTTCCCCCCGCCTCCCCACCCTGGCAGACCATACTAACTATGCCTGTGGCTGGAGAGCAGTGCTGTGCCAAGGTGCTCCAAAGCTGAAGTGTCAATAAGCATTATTTACTAAACATTTTTATGGGCATAAGGGAATTGAGTTGTGAAACTTATCTTTCCATTTCCATTGGGACTGTAAATGCAGTGGTACATCTCTCTCTCTCTCTTTTTTTTTTTTTTTTTTTTTTAAATCAGCAGCTACTGGTGTGGTGCTCCCCCATTCCACACCTGCAGAACATCTGACCCTGATGAGGAGGAGAAAGCAGAGGACTAGGGAAGACATGTTCAGTGAGATCCTACAAGCCAGTGCTGTATCTGACCATGAACAAAGGGCTTGGAGGGCCAATATGATTGACAGCCTAAAGAAGGAAAGAAAGGACAAGAGAGAGGTCCAGGAACCCCAGCAGGACAAAGAGAGGGAAATGCACCAGGACATAATGGGACTTCTCAGGCAGCAAACCCAAATGCTACAGCACATGGTTGACTTATAGATCCAAAAATGTTAGACGCTCCAGCCTTTTCAGCCCTTGGAGAACTCCATGGTTTCTGCTCCCTGCACCTCCCAACATACCACATAGCATCAAGGGGAACATCCTTATCCCTATCATTCCTCACCAGGAACAGCAAGGACAGCTTCACAGAACCATGGTTGGTGTATGTGTAGCCACAACGGACTACACTTGTGCACGGAAGTGGACAGAAATGTTTTCTGCCTTTCCAATTATAAAATTCCACTCCATTAATTTGTTAGAATTTTGTATTACATTGCCTTTGTTTTGGTTTTTTGCATTGTTTTTCTGCACTGTTTTTCCCACTCAGTAAAGTTCTATTTTTGGAGAATAAAATTATCTTTATTAGTTCACAACACATATTGTAGAATGCATATCAGTACTCAAAGCAAACAGTACTTGTTAATATCCAGCAAGCACCACGTAATTCATAGCTTCAGGAAAACACCTAGTCATATTTATAAATGAACAGCAAGCAGTACACAATTCTTAGCAGCACCCAAAGCTCCAGCTCCAAAGACTAATCCAGCACCGAATGCTACTGTGGCTGACCGCTAAAGTGCTCTTTCAAAGCCTCCCTCAACTGCATAGCCCCACATGGGCTCTTGTAATGGCCCTTGTGTCTGGCTGCTCAAAGGCGGCAGACAGCTGCTCCAGCTCCACCCCGGCGGGAGCTTTTCCCCCTTTGCCTCACAGATATTATGCAGAACACAACAGGCAGCTATAACTGTCGGGATATTTTTCTCGTTGACATCCAGCTAGCAAGTAAACACTGCCAGAGTGTCTTCAGTCTACCAAAAGCACATTCAGCAACCATTCTGCACCTGCTGAGCCAGTAGCTGAATCTCTCCTTGGAGCTGTCAAGGTGACCAGTGCATGGCTTCATGAGCCAGGGGAGAAAGGAGTAGGGTGAGTCTCTCAGCATCACTATTGGCATTTTAATTGCTGATGGTAATCTGCCAGTCAGAAAAGAATGTCCATGCTTGCAGCTTTCTGAGTAGTCCTGTGATCTTAAAGATGCAAGTGTTATGCACCTTCCCTGACCCCAGTCCACATTGTTCTTAGTGAAGTATCCCCAGTGATCCACCAACACTTGCATAACCATAGAATAGCAGCCCTTTCTAATGATGTATTCTGTGGCAAGGTGGGCAGATGCCAAAATACGGCTATTGCCCCACTGCAGTTCAGGAACCACCATTGTTGCAAAAATCCATCCACTAAGTCCTGCACATTGCTGAGAGTCCTCCATAACAGGAGACGATTAGTGGCCCTATATACTTGCATTATGGCGGCCCCTCCACTGTGGATTTTCCAGCTGCAAAATGATTTTCCACTGACTGGTAGCAGTCCGGCATTGCAAACTTCCAGAGACTGATCTCTACTTGTTTTTCCATTGTCAATGCAGTTCTCATTTTGGTGTCGCTGCACTGGGGAGCTGAGGTGAGCATGGTACACAGATCCAGGAATGTGGCCTCCACATCCACGTCGTCTCAAACCTATCCAGTCAGTGTTTGTTTCTGGGGCCCAAAAGTAATACTCCATCTGCAGCTGCTTTGTGAACACCACCCACAACCTTGAATTGTTTTTCACTATGTCCCTTAGCAAGCTCTGCTCGAAGAAATTGTCATGTCCCCCATTCTTGTGGTACTTCTGTGGGTTTCCAAATAAACGAGAATCGAGCATCCTATATTTGCAACATTCATGAGAACAGCGCAGAGCTCTGCAGGCTCCATGCTTCTGAGAGATGGTGGATACTGAAAAGTGCTGTACAGGTTTCTGGGATTTTTTTTTTTAAAAGGCATGAAAATTATGGGACATGGATGGCATTAGGAAATTCAGCAAGTTGCATGCTGGGAACTTGATCCTTGCATCCAGAGATCACTGGGCAAGTCATTTCTATCCGCAACATATTGTGAAAATTTCCCAAAAGGCATTGCACCAGATGGCAGCATGTGACACAGTGGGATACCTACCTGCGGTGCACTACACTTTGCATCGACCCGCTCTTGCTGAGTACCTGCAGTGCCAATGCAAGCCATGTGTGTACACGCCCAAGCAATATACAAGTTTTGGTGGCTGTCTGCCAACATAACTTGCATCGACCAAAGTGTGCAGTGTAGATGTGGTCTAAGACTTCTTTAAAGTGAGTATAAATGTAATTATGTTTGTCTTTAAGGCCCTTTTATTCTGCAAGAGTGGCATAAAAGGGCCTTAGTGTATATGAAAATCAAGATCCATCTCTTTGTGGTTAAAATCTAAAGCTAGTGTTATATTAAGGTTTTTATTGTTTTGATTTGGGATTTTTTGCATATGATTATTTCTTGCTTGGGTGTGTATTACAATAGGTACCGTGCACTTTTGTTACATAATATCATGAGCTACTAGATACAGTTCAAACTCGGTTTTGTCAAAAACATTTCAGTTGTGTTTTGTTTTTGTTTTTATGAACCTGTGGTAGTTTTGGATTCATGGTGTTTAGGAATGTTGTTATTCACCAAAATGGCTTTAATCATGATGCTTTACATTGTCTTGTTTTTTTTAAGAAAGCACAATAATATGGAATGCTTTTATTTTTACATTCCAAAATTATTTTTATTGTTTTATTAAAACCTGTAGCACCAAATGTAGTGCATCCGAATAGGTTAGTATCTCTTGAAAGAGTTTGTGAGCCCTCCAGTGGGACTCACTGTGTTAAATGTTTTCAAAAGCCACCAAAAACCAGTCAGAGCAGAGGTATGGGTGTAGCTAGGTTTTGCACTGTTATTTGGGATCCAGCTGTGCTGTGTTGTTTCTTCATATTGTTTTTGTTGTGGAAAGAGCAAAACCCACCATACTGAACCAGAGCACCAAGCACCTCCCAAAACAGAACTTGCAAAAAGTCTAAAATGTTCAATACAATGTTTTAGTTTATCAGTTTTTCCAATTACAAATGTTCTACTTAACAGACTCTCCCACAAAAACTAAAGCCACTTTAACAACAAGGAGTCGACGCAAGAAGAAGTGAGGTTTTTACCCACGAAAGCTTATGCCCAAATAAATCTGTTAGTCTTTAAGGTGCCTCCAGACTCCTTGTTGTTTTTGTAGATACAGACTAACACGGCTACCCCCTGATACTTAAAGCCACTTTAGGCAGCCATCTTATGAGACCCCATCTAAATTGTTCTTCATTTTACAGCCCCTCCAGATATGAGCTCCCAACTTTCCTGGATGGCTGCAAGATAAGTTGGGCTTTGCAGCATGCCTGGAATGGTGCCAAATCTAGGCAGCGGTGGACCAAAGAGGGAAGCAAATTCCCAAGCCAAGGGCCTGGAATGGAGAGTTCCCTTCTTATTCCTGAGCTACCAAAGATTTTGGAGGAGGTTTGTTCCATCTCCACTAACACATATGAAATAATGAAGTATTTAAAGATTTGAAGAAGATAATGATAAATATATGGTCCATCTGAATAGATATCACATAGCACTTGTAACTGTAAAAGCTAGAACATTTTTTTTTCTCAAACACATTTAACTCTGCCAATATTTAATGCATCCGTGTTTTGAGGTTATTAAATATAAGCTAATTAAAGTCAATGAGCAGCTATTCAAAGGGGCAGATTTTAAATGAACTGTAATATAAATCAGTGTAAAAAGGGAAGTGTCTATTTAAGTGCAGCTGTGATGTTTTCTGTTGTAAAATGCTGAGATTTACTTTTGATTCTCTAGAACACACAGTGAGATCAAAATCTTCTTCCCACATTATCTCAATACAGGGCATATGTGCAGGGGAGATGTGGTGTGGGCCTTCTCTGTGGCCACTATTGAAGTCACACAGATGCTCTGCCTGCCTTCCCTCATGCCTTTCAGCCAGTGGATTGGCATAGCCTTGAATGCTCCAATCTCATTCCATGTAAACCCATCCTCCAAGCAGGGAGCCTACACAGAGCTAAGTTCCATTGTGTGTATAGGGTCTGAATCCCTCATGCAGGCACAGGGGATCCTGACCCATCCATGGAATAGAACCACCTTTGTTCTGCTCTGTCCAGGGCCTCATGGGAGGTGGGGTGGGGGAGGGCAAAATTTAGAAATTTTGTTTCTAAATTAACAAAGAGCAGTGCAAATGCGTCAGATTACAGAGCAGTGCACCAGTCACAGCAGAGGACATGGCATTCTCAGTACCCCTTTTCTCCAAAAGCAAAATGACCTTGAACTATAGAATCTTCACATCTAGATTAGACTTGCTCCTCATGCTTCATATATGCTACCAAAAAAGGTTTTCTCCTTGTTTACAGAAATAAACATAGTTTTAAATTCCCTCTCTTGTGCTGTGTTTCTGTCTAGTTTTGAAGATTTGCGCTGCATGCCTCTTTCCTGAATGACAATGTGCTTATTGCTTGGTTCTAAGAACTACCTGGTATTACCCAAACAGCTCTGATAGCAGTTCATAACACCAGAATGTGACATGCAGGAGGAAACTTGTAGATATACAAGAGGGTCTTTACATTACATTTAGAAAATTAAAATATTTGTATTGAGATTATGTAGCAGAACCGAGACAAGTGAAAGAGAAAAAATGTAATATGCACACTTGGTTTGTGTCTTTGCCTCTAGGAAAGAAGTACCAGTAAGTGAAGCAAGGATTTATGATATATAAATGCAGGGCACAGTTATCCACCAATAAGAGTCTGTTTAATGATGGCATCATTTTGTATGTAAATGTCTGTATGAATTTGAGTTAACCATTTCAGGCCAGATAAAGGAAGAGTATTCTGGTCTCTTAGGGAAAATTGTGCCCTTCCACACAACAAGGAAATTAGATGGAAAATTCCACAGCTTCAAGGCCACAGAATTCCCTCTGGTGGGAGGGAGATGGGTTGTGCCCCTGTCCCGGTCTTCTGGCGTGGGCAGGTGACATTACCTGTCCAAACTGAAGACATCTTGAGTGCTAAAAGATAATTCCAGGGATGTCAGGGCAGCCACTTCAGGTCAAAACATATGCATAGAAGGCCATTTCCTCCACCATTACTTCTCATGATTCCCTCTGTGGCAGCACAGCTCCCTAGTGAGCGATGCTCCCACTACTTTCCCATCCATGCTTCAGTGAAATCTCTATTCTCTTATGAACAGCCATACTGGGTCAGACCGAAGGTCCATCTAGCCCAGTATCCTGTCCTCTGACAGTGGCCAATGCCAGGTGCCCCAGAGGGAATGAACAGAACAAGTAATCAAGTAATCCATTTCCTGACACTCATTCCCAGCTTCTGGCAAACAGAAGCTAGGGACACCATCCCTGCCCTGTCTAGTCTCACTTTTTATTATTAAATGAATGGTACATTTTGCATTGAAAGAGTGTTTAAATTAATTGTGAAGTTCTTTGAGTCTGCATTCAGTACTATAAAAATCAAAAGAAATAAATTAATAAATACATCAGTGATATTGCTGAGAACAGTTTTCCCCATGCCCTGTCTTCTTCCCACCCAGTCACTCCCTCTTCCAAAACCAAAGAAGTACACCTGTGGAGAGACTGTGTATGATGATGGGATGTCCCTTAAATAACATTTTTGCAGATGTTTTAGTCTTCTCCTGCCTTTTATTACTCTCCAGGAGAATCAGCAGCTCACTTTGTAACATCCTCCTTGAGGTAGCAGTGGGAGATATTTCCAAAAGTAGTGTATATTACCAGCATGTATAATTCTTGTATAACAAATTCACTTGCCTCTTTTTAATGATTATTTCTCAGTTTTTAACCAATTCCTTTGCTTGGTCCCTCCTCAGATAAGAGTGTTAGAATATTATTGGGGGGAGGGATAGCTCAATGGTTTGAGCAGTGGCCTGCTAAACCCAGGGTTGTGAGTTCAATCCTTGAGGGGGCCATTTAGGGATCTGGGGCAAAAATCTGTCAGGGATGGTACTTGGTCCTGCTGTGAAGGCAGGGGATTAGACTCAATGACCTTTCAAGGTCCCTTCCAGTTCTATGAGATAGGTATATCTCCATAAAATATAGTTCACTGAATGGGCTGTAAAGGGGAACACTGATTGCACAATGTGGTTATTAGCTTTGCTAATAACCCTAATGTTAATATTTTTCTTGTCCTAATCACAGAGATGATGATGTCTTTGGTGAAAGAAGAGAACCCCACCTTTTCATGTGTGTCTCCAAATTAGACTGGAGTTAGCTCTTCAGTAGGTCTGATTATTAAATTTATATGCAATCCTCTTACACAATATAAAAGTAATAGAATTAAGAACAAAGTGTATGACTAGCTGCCATAGTTTCTTCAGTGTTTCAGTTCATGTGCTAATTCACCTTGATATTTCAGATAATTTTAGACATTGATAATAGTTCCCTTAAAAAAGCTCTATAATATATAGTTTTCCTTTAAGCGTGACTAAAGATTATATGTACAAAGTACTACTTTTCTGGTTTCTGTACAAGAAGAAACTTGTAAGAAATATAGTCTAGTAATAACAAATGTCTAAAGATGAGAGGCCTGATCCAGTGCCCAGAGAAGTCAGTGAAAGGACTCCCATTAAGTTCTGTGGGCATTGGATCAGGCCCTAAAACAAAAGGAATTTGTGCTGTGTCCCTTCTCTGACATGTCTTTTTAGAACTTGACCTGATTTTTTGCAAATTCAGGCCTGATTATGCAAAACTGATATAGTTGTCTTCCTGTATTCAAGGGTTGCATTCTTCAACCTTCTAAAGAAAATAAAAATGTGATCTGGCATTTTCTCCTGCATTAAATGAAGCCCTGTTAATATTTACTTTGAATAGGTGTTTGCTTAATGCGGTTATTGTGGAACACATTCCAACTTGTCCAAAGAATGACATTTCCAACTGCTGAGTAAACGACTCTTGAATTATAAAATTAGTTGTTCAATTTTAGCCAGAGGGATGATGCCACTTTCTATAAAACTGTGGTAAATACATTCCAGGTATTAAATACTCAGTGTACTGTTCCACTATAACAAAGCCGACTGCAATCTTTGAAATGCGTTTTTTCTTATCTGTTTGTAAGAGAGATGAAGTGTTGGACTATGTCACATTGCTATAGGTTTGTTTTGAAGCCATATTTGGCAGGAAACTGGTTTTTCTTTTTCTTTAATTGCCTCACTGCGACTGTTTATGCTAAGGAGGTACAATACTTTCCACAACAAATAAACCACAAATTCAGCACTGAGCACACAAAGAAAACAACCTCCTCAGTTTTGCTTTTATTTATTTTTTTCCTGTGTTTATAACTTGCTGCACTTCTTTTATAGGTTAACACTTCACAGTACACCCGTTCTCTGTTTGTGTAGTTGCCTTGCCTATAGAAACTGGCACCTCTGTGCCAGCATCCCCTATTATGGCGCTAATTTAATTTCTCAGCTTTCTTTCTTTCTTTCTCAGTTGAGCAGTAATTATGGATTTGTATGGCTACTGTGATGTAACTTTGAGAATGCTGTTCTGACATTTTGGCTGCCTTGCAAATGCCATTGTAGCTGTTTTTCTGTTTCTCTGAGATGCAAATTTCAGGTGCTGCTGCAGACCTGTTTAAAGTAATGAAGGTTATTCTTATTGAATACACTCTATTGGGAAAAAATATATATGTGGAAAGTTGTCACAATTTCAGTTAAGTACAGCACAATGATATTAACGATGTCCTGATATGACTGCCCACTGTATTATCAGCTTTCAGAATGATGGTAAGCTATTTTTCTTTTCTTTTAATAATAAACATGGCTGTTTTTCCTAGTGACTATGCTTGATCATTTACACACAAAACATGAATTACTGCATTTAACTGAGTAAAGTATATGTCCATAATATCAGCATACAGGAATATATCAATACAGTACTTGTTTTAGCATACTTATATCACATCATGTGGAGGAAGAAGGTAGTTTGCTTTATTAATTATTATTATTATTACTTCTCATTCTCCCTTCTACTTTCAGCCTTCCAGCTGGAAATGTACTGCAGAAACTATCCATTGATGCCCTTTCAGCAGATGTTACCTCTAAATGTGATCTCATGTTCAACATCTATTCTCTTCTCATTACAGCACTGAATGCAGTAACCATCTCTGAGGGGGACTATCATGGTGAAATACTGTGCAGCATATAACTGCAGTAATGCAGACACAAAGTTAAATCGGAAGCAGGGAATAACTTTTCATAGGTGAGCCTGACGATCCTGGGTATCATTGAATTCTGACTGCAGGTACTACAGATATTGGGTGGAATCTTGAGCAAAACTCCCATTGATTTCAGTAGGGATTTCACCCTCTAAGTATTTTGACCAAGCAAACCTTCTCACAAGCCTAGTATTCTGGAGTGGCAGGCTGATGCCAGGAGCTACCCCACTGCAAGCCTTTCCTCCTGGCTGATGAATTGGACGCAGCACTTCCTGTCAGGAATTGGTAAGGAGCACTGATTGAGGAGTGTCATTTCAGCATACAAAAAAGCAGCAGCAGCACAGCTAAGTCAGCACTGGAAATTGTGGTCCTGGCTTTCAGTGCAGCGACATGATTAAAGTAACATCCAATAGGTGAAATACAAAATGTTGTTTAAATTAAAACAAAAGACGTGTGTTCAATTATATTAATGAGGGATTGTGCACGGGAAAGAGGCCATGAATGACAGACAAAAAGATGGGAAGGGCCATGGGAGAGAAGTGAGGGTTAGTACCGGTTAGTCGAGATTTTAATGTATGACGAGTTGTGTTTAGTTTTGTACTGTGTATTACTTACTCTCATTAATTGTAGCCTCCCAATAAACTACCTGAGGAAGGGAACTGTTACTATCTCTGGTTTATAAACACAGGAGATGAAGCCAGGGCAGTGGAGAGGCTAACGCCCGCATTTTCAGAAGTGGCCTCCGCTTCTGGCTGCCATAATTTTTGGGTGCTCAGCTTTAGAGATTTAAGACTTCAAATGCAGAAACCCCTATTGGCTCAAATGAGAATTTTAGGTATTCAACATCTCTGAAGATGAAGGCTGCCTTTGAATGTTTGGCTGTACAGGCTAGACAGTGAGTTAGTGGCACTGTCTGAACTAGAACTATGGTCTCCTGACTCTCAGTCCCCTTCTCTAAGCACTAGTTCTAGTGCCAGACCATGCTATTTCCCATATTTTGGTGACTCATCCTAACCCAAAAATGATTTATAAATGGTCTCTTATTAATTTAATTATTTAAAATATGGCCTTCAAACTTTTTTACCCTCTGAGGGCCAAAGCAACCATTGTCAAGCATATTGTATAATCTTCTGAAAAATACTTGCATCTATCTCTGTTTACCAGTAATTTGGGTCATATGCACACAGCTGGGAGAATATAACACCCATCTTCCTTGCCTTTACCTCCTACTTCCTAAGCATCATGTACCCTTCTTTGCCTCTTTCGGATCCTTCCAAAAATCCACTCCTTTCATGAAGCGTTCCCATCTTCCTTCTCACCAATTGTGCACCAAACCTTTATGCTTTTGTATTGTCCATTGTGTTGCCCTAGTCTGAGTTAGATGGAAACCTTCTCCTAGCTGGCACCTGGTCTATGAATTTTTAGTAGAGCATCATCTACACTAACGTTGTTATTTCTCCCTTGGAATCCTTGAAAATTATTATACAATTTTAAAAGCATAATTGATTCTCTGTATGTGGAGTCTGTGCTGCTTCTGGGAACTGAGTGGCGTGAAATTAAGTAGAACTGGGTTTGTGAATGTGACATGCATATCACAGAAACTAAGAAATGGAAATAAGCCTATTAGGTCATCTAATAAATTCTCTGAAGCTAATGAGCAATTGTTTTCTGCAGTATACTCTTCAGTGCTTTGTCCAGTCCATTTAAAATGACTAAGTGATGAGAATTTCACCATTTACAAAGAACATGTGAGATTGTGTTGTGAGAGTCTTATAATGTATCTAGTGAACTTAGAAGATGTATGTACATTACTTCTTCCCCTCTAATTTTTTATCCAACTGGATATTTTAATAAGGGGATTTGTGTTTCTCCTGGAGTACCTTCTCTTTTCAAACCCAGTGGATAACCCAGTATGTTCTTTTTAGTTTTTATTTAATTGAGCTGTCACCCTCACTAAATACTTTGTAATATTTTAGCTTCTCTTCCCCCCCCAAGATTCTTAAAGTGATTTACAAATGTAGGTGAGCATTATTATCCCTAGTTCTCAGAGGGGCAAACTGAGACACAGAAATTTAAGTCACTTGCCCAAGGGCAAAAGTGTAGTCAGTTGGGAATAGAATCTAGGTCCCACAGCTCCCAGGCCATGCACTGTGTACTGGACCATGCTGTTTCTCTCTGGCCCCAACTCAGCAAGGTACTTAAGTAAGTGCACAGTTTTAAGCATGTGAGTTGTCCCATTGACTGTAGTGGCCTGTATGGGTAACAACACCCCTAAGTAAAGTATAATTACTAAACAAAACCCAGCTGATGTTCTTTGATCTGTGAACTTTGTTATTTCTGTTTTAGGTTTCCCAAGGATAATAAGAAAAAACAGCAGTGGGCCCAGGCAGTACATCGGGCTGACCCTGTGAGTGGCAATCTCTGGACACCCTCTGAATGGGATATGATTTGTTCTCAACATTTCAATCCTGGCTGCTTCAAAGAAATTAATGGAAAGAAATTTTTAAAAGAAGGGAGTTGTCCTTCTATATTTTCCTTTCCTGACAATTTTCAGGTATAAAATGTGACACACTGTGATTTCATTAAAAATAACTGATTCATTATCAACTGAAGTACATAACCGCCTCAGGTGGCATGTTTTTGGAGTGACATTTCACACAGAGTGCCATACTATTACTAATATGCTAATAACCCTGTTAGGTCATCTAAAAATAGCTTTAGTAAAATCTTGGGGGTGGAGGGTGTTGAGGTGTCAGAGGGAGTGTATGTATATCAGTGGCTAAATTATGCATTCTATAATTGTAATTAAAAACTGATTGGTTAAGTAAAAGCAAAAGCTGTGTCCTTGTGTCTAGTTCAGATTCTTTCAGCCTATGTTATTTCTGTTAAACTAAAGACTGCAATTGTTAAATTTGTCGCAGTATGGATCACATCTCAATAAAGAGAATTTCTCATGGACAGTTTTTCCTTCTATTTACAATTGCATAGACCAGTACCTTTCCCATTCACACTTATGTGGACCAGGTCTCAACATCTCTGTGGCAACTTCTACAGTTTGCTGGGCTCTTTTCTAACAGTAAGCCTGATCTGATGCCTGTAGAAGCAGATGTGAAGGAGATAGAGTCAACACCTAATATAACATTTATAAAACCTGGCTTTGCTGATGAAAACCCCATTGCCACCAACCTTAGTTCTCAGAACTGCACTTCTCTCTGAACTTTAATTGCATTCTTTGTTTTGTAGAGAATAGATAATTCTCTACGGAGATCAGCGAAGAACTCCAAATGTGCTGGCATATTTCGAGAAAATCCTCCTCTCGAGGCAGATCCCAGTGAGGTGTATGTTACACCACCCACGGTAAAGGTAAGCATCAGAACTGAGACTGAATGCTGAAACAGTAGTGTCACAACGTGAGCCTTTCCTTTTGTATTTCCTGTATTAATGACCAATTCTGTGTCAATTTGACTAGGACAAATACTTGCTTATTTTAGCATTTAAAAATAATGTGGGATACTGTGTGATGCTGTGCTTCATTGGTCTTGGGGCAACAATTAACATTTGTTAGGCTCACTGGAGAACAAAAAATACAAAGATGTAAAAATGTTATAAAATGTGCTTGTGTAGGGTTTACAGTGAGGCAACAGACATCTGCCATGAAGCGATTAAGATACACGGACTGAAATCCTGGCTCCATTGAAGACAGTAATAGTTCTGCCACTGATCTCAATAGGGTCAGGATTATACCCATAGCCTAGGATTGCTGGAAAGAATTTTGAGCAGAATTAGATATCAGAAAACCCATCTCTTTGTCTTTCAATAACTTGTCTAATGTGCAACAAATTAATGTTCTTCACATTCAGCCATGAAGCATCTGCATCATGCGATCATATGTGAATGCATATGAATTGGCCTGAAAGAGAGCATTTGAATTTCCAAGTTTATACAGGACTCCAATTTCTCACTGGTTTGGAGTGAAAGAAAGGCAGAAAAGTTCTTTAAAAGTTGAGAAAAAGCTGTATCCTGTTAATTCTTTTTTGGGGGCATAACATCATTCACACACTCCCCCTCCATTCGAGGTTTCCTGGGAGGAATTAAATTCCTGTGTTGTTGTTTCCTTTTGTAGAAAACAGCGAACAACCCAAAAAGATTAACAGAAAACTTCAGCTGTGTTCATGAGGTAGACACCAGTGGGGTGTGTAATACACAGGACACAGTAATGGTGAGCATCAAAACTACAATGGGTAGACTTCCTCCTTTTACATTCTTTCTGTTTTAGGCTTTAAAAAAATGTTCTCTTGTTGACACTGAGTCCAATCTTAAAGCCCTTATACACTCAAAACTCCTGTTGACTCCACACTACCCGTGAGAATCTTAGTATATTGAAACATAAGATTCAATGATTTTATGTTTTAAATGTTTTGTTCAGTTCAAGATAGCACTGTGTGGTAACTGTAGGCAAATGCTATAGGAGGTAGTACTGTTTCCCTGTATATTTAGGAAAAGAAATAAATGAAGCAAAAGCTCTCAAATATTTAGCAGTAGCCACTGTATATGAAATGAGTACATGCTTGCAGTCCAGTTCCAAGTGGACAGGTGTCTGCATCTCAAAAGCCACTGTCACAATTGACACTGTTGTTAACCATGTCCCTAGAGAAGCTTGAAAGATTGATTGATTGGACATGGAGACAGAACCACCTTCTTGGCTTTACAGGGGATACCTTTACCAGATCAAGGTGCATCCTAGGCACTAAACTACCTTTGTAAGTGAAAAATAAAAAAATATTCTGAAAACTGTAGAAGTAGGTTCTACATCCATGTAAGCTAGTTCAGGACAAAATGCCCAGTTGGTCAGAGGGAAAAAATTGCATTTTATATGGAAATGAGGTATCCAGAAGATGTAAATCTCACATATGTGAACTTAACTCTTTTTATGGCATGCTATATTAAGGGCTAAATTGCTAGCACTTCGACCTCTGAGCCCAGAACTCAAGGGAAGTGCTGCTTCAGTAGTGCAACTTTCGGAGGAGAAATGTTCTCATCCTTTGGATGAGCCATTTTTCCAAAGTTCCTTTTGCTAACCTAATGGTTTTTCAGGTGGATTTTAAAGATTGCACGGTACCTTTTTCGTAAGAGCAGAACCTTGATGTTTGGTCAGCATCCCTTGCCTTGATACACCAGGCTGCAACATTCAAGGCAGTAGATGAGTTATTGCAATTACAAACACCCCAGTGAAATGGATGGGCACCTTTTAACAAAACTAAATAAATAACTGCTGCCACATTAGTCTAAACTATCACTACACTACTGATACACAGCACATCAAAAAATTCTTAGGTGCTGAGCCAGACCCATATCTTAATATGTCCTATTTATTAGAGCATTCATTGGACTTTATATCCTGTGTCCACTTCTTATAACTGAGGATTCTCCTGTGGGCAGAGGTTAAACTGGGCCAGTACAGGGCAATACAGCATGTCAGCAGGAGCTTCTTTGACTACAGACTCTAAATCAACGGAGCTGACAACTAGGGTGTATTGTAGTAGGGCCAGAATGAGCTCTGGTACTTATGTCTGGCAGCTGAGTTCTAGTGCCCCATCTTTCAATCAGATCTGCTAGCTTGGCTTCAGTGGGGCTCTGTATCGGCACAAAGACACTCTGCAAGTGGATCTGATTGTAGACTTGTCTCGTACTTTCTTTCCCTTCTCCACAGCTTTGCGTCATGTTGTTATGAGTTCCTCATGCTACTCCCAGTTCCACCCTGGAGCTGCAATCATGGAGGCTTTTTAGTTTTGGTTTGGGTTTTCTGGTAAATTAAGCCCCAATTAGCTCTGATTCTAACAAAAATAGCAAACATCCAGCATTGTTGCTTTCTTTTATCTTTAAATTAGACTGACCACCATTACCATATCACAGACAGTCCAAAAACTCTGAAGAGAAAATTGGATGAACTTTTAGCAGAGAATCACAAGCTCAGAAGAAAATTAAGAAATGCTTCTGATCAAGAAGAGAGACTCCATAAAAATGTGGAAATCTTGTTGGACAAGCTGCACTCCAAAGACATGTTGTCAAGGGAAATAATGTGATTGCTAGATCTATGCAAAGGGCATGGGCTGAATGACAGGTCTTCTCTCCCACTGCACTCAGCTGTTGGATAAGAAATGTTCACTAATGTTTATTGCTATACATGTCATTTTTGAACGTATTTATTAAATAAAAAGATGTAAACATTACTGAAGTTTTCATATAAAAGCTAGAAACTTCAAAGTTAAGATTGGCACTTGTGTTGTTCAGGGAGTGAATGTCAGCCTTTTCCTTTAATTCCCTGTCTCTTCTTCATTTGTCCCACACGGGTATTTTTTAGCTATATAGTTTCATGGAGGGTGGATGGGAGTTTTACTGCTTTAAAAAAAAAAAAAAAAAAAAATCTTCTGTAGACATTTACTAAGTGGGTAGTATTTACCTGAGAGAGAGCCATGGCTTTTTGAAATAATACACTAGAATGTTCCAACAAATATTTATAAATTTCCCAAAACCTGATAGGTTAGGAAATCTATAGTCTGATAAATATGTTGCAGCATTTATGAAAATTTGTATTGGTTCATATCTCTTTATATTTAACCAGTGTATTAGACTAGTTTCAGATAAAATTTTTAATGGCAAAAAGTTGAAAAGACCACATTATGAGACACATTTCTTTTGCAGCTCCTCCAAAACTTCTAGCAGTAAAAACCTTCACAACACCTCCAACCATCACGGACTTTGCTTAGAGCACCTATTTTATTCATTGTTGTCTTTTTCCCCCCTTCTCCTTCTTATGTCACTTTTTAAGTGCATTAATTTCTAACAGCGCAATGGTGTCATTGCAACAGCCATCCACCCATGCACTATAAAGTCAGCTTTACATAATAGTTTGAAATATATACTTTTTTTGAAAGATTGGCATTTGCGTTAATCATATTAAATCTTATGATCACACATAGTAAAGTGTGTGTGTGTGTGTGTGTGTGTGTGTGTGTGTGTGTGTGTGTGTGTGTGTGTGTGTGTATATACACACACACACACCTCTACCCCAATATAACGTGACCCGATATAACGCGGTAAAGCAGCGCTTGGGGGGGGGGGGGGGGAGGGGCTGCACACTCCGGCAGATCAAAGCAAGTTCGATATAATGTGGTTTCACCTATAACGCGGTAAGATTTTTTGGCTCCCGTGGATAGCGTTATATGGGGGTAGAGGTGTGGGTGTGGGTGTATATAATATAAAATGTAATATTGTTTAATTGATCCAGACTTATTCTAGTCCATTGTATCAATGTATATTTCTGCTGTCTATATTGCATGCTAAAATTGAACATATTAAAATTCATTATGAAAAATAACTACTGTGTACAGTATGTGCAATATTGAGTCTTCACATAGGGTGCCCCCCGTGTAGGGACAAGAGGGGAATAGGCAGAGCACAAAGCATTCTAGCTAATCTGGGCTGTGAATTTAGCCCATAGACAGTCATGCAAAGCTGCCATCAATTTTGCAGCCCCAATGGCTGCTCAAGCTCATGCCGGGGAGTGCACTGGTGGGTGGAGCAGTCCAGAATTAGGTAAATGCAAAGATGGTATATTAACCACCTTTGCCCTTCCCCTGCTGTGGGCTGCACCTTCTGCAGCCTGCCTCCCCAGTGGCGCAGTGTGGAACTTGTCCCTATTTGTTTAGATATTGAGGACCCTTCTAAAAGGCCTTTGAAGGTAATGGAAAGACTTTCTCTGACTTCAGCAGCCTTTGAATCAGGTTCTGCATTATCCAGTGATGATCTTCAAACGATGACCAGGGAGTTGTGCACTTTTTTCAGAATTGTGATATTCCAGATACACTCCTGCAATTGAAAATATTAATCAATTAAAAAGCACCAGCTAAAACTGTTCTTTGTACAATAAATGCACATCAGGTTAGGCAATCTGTGTCACACCGGTCTTTTATTATCCCATAAACAGAAGTTGTCAGAACATTATACACATACCAAACCTCCATCAAAGTCATTGGGAGTTTGGGCACAAAAGGAATGTTGTCTTCCAACATGTTCAGTACCACATATTTCAGATGCAACACCCTCCCCCCCCCCAATGGACAATTTTGCAATAATGCTCATAAGCTAAAGTAAAAAGGGAATATGCATTTTGGCCTGTTGTGGTCTCCTTTGAAAACTGGCCCTGAAAAAGATGTGGGAGTTTATAGCTGTAAGATTCCCACTGAATTTCATAGCCATTGCATGGCTGAAACCCTGCACAATTCTTAGCATCTAGGGTGCAATATACAGCTAGTTATAATTATACTGCTAACTCGTAATTAAACCACAAGTCACAACCTAAACATTTAGGCAGTTTAGAAATGTGTATGGCTGAAATTAAATAGGAGCTCATTTCTTTGTTCTTAACTGCGCTGGTGGAGATGTTCTGGGCAACAATACAAACCAGTTTGAGATCATATAAATGTTGCTGAAAGTTGTTTATGGGTGCAAGAGTGACTAACCAAGAAATAGGGGCAAAAATAAAACATCAGACTCAGCACACAGAGCTGCAAGACACGCACAGAAAAACATTCTTCTAAAAACTGGAGTCTCCATCAGGACTATTGTCCTGAAGGGACAACAAAAAGTTCTGCATTATTTGCTAGAATAGTATTCCCTGTACTTAAATAATCACAAACCTTCAAAGGCTCAGAGCCTGCAAGCACCTCTGTCTAAGGCTAAATGGCAATACTATGGAGGTGGAGGAAGGCGCCTAGTAGAATACCACAGAGATCAGTGTTAGGGGGAAACAAACCACCCTTTTAAACATCTTCCTTAATCATATAGGAAAAGCACTAAGCCTATTAATGAAATGTAGATGATGTGACATTGTTCTCACTGGTGGTCAGTTTTCCTCAGAGTTGTAATTCAAAGGAATCTAAAGGTATTAGAAATGTGGACAGAAAAGAGGTTCAATTTGGGAAATTTACATTAATACAGCCATGGAAAAATACTCTAAAACACAAGCATACAATGGGAAGACTAGAGCTGGAAGCCGGTAATACTGAAAGAGAGCTGGTGGGGTGATAGATGATGACAAGCTCCATAAATGTTTACAATGGAATAGAGCAGCAGCAAAGCCAGTCTGCTACTGGGCTGTAAATGCAGAGGCATCACAGTAATAAGCCTTTTCTTTGTGACTCTGGTGTGATTACATTTAGAACATGGAGCCCACTTCTGGACTCCACCTTATTAGAGAAGAAAAATGTACGTTAGTGCAATAACTAATAGGATAAAATTAATAATGATGCTAAACAGCGTGATCTTATTGCTGGAACCTTTACCTCTCCCTCACCCACTCTCCTCCCTCCTATTTGTTATTCCCAGCTGTCTATATTCTGTAAGCTCTTTGGGGAAGGCGCCGCATCTTTTCTTTGTTCTGGAAAGCACCTAGCACATTTTTGGGGCACAGTATAAATAAGGAATGTTTCCCTAAGAAAGGGAGAATGCTGTCTGAACAATAGTGGAAACTTCCTGACTAAGTCCCATTAGCCTGTGTAAAAGGGAGGTGGCAGATATCTGGAACAATCCTGTACTGCCAAGGAAATGGACTTGATAAACTAATCAAGCTTTTCCATCTCTGTCTATGATTAGCTCATGCCCATACTTCACCTACAACAATACCTGAACATGTGCATAAGGAGTGTTTTCTAGACCTTCTCTGCTTCTTGCTAGGTCTAGGAATAGCCCACAGGTGGAGCCAATCCTCTCACCTTGCCCTCAGTTGAGGCTCAGAAGGGAGTCTCCTTCAGCTGTTCCTTCTTAAATATAAAGAAAGCTCAGGGACTGGTTTCAGTGGGAGTTACGAACACACAACTGATGCAATAATCAAGTCCCCCCCCCTGTTTGTTAGAAGCATCTCCTTGGTAGAATGTAACAAAAATCATACCCTCAAATATTGAATGTTGCAATTTCAGTTCCTGGATTGGCTGAGAGCATAAGCACTTCTGGTGCAGATACTTGTTCATGCACATTTAAAATTTGCTTTTTGCAATTATTTTTGCATGCAGCTTTAAGATGTGCTTTCCCTAAACATTCAGGCCAGTAAAACTTACTCACATGGAAGTTCACAGAAAGTAACTCAAAAAGTTCAAAAGTCTAGCTGGAGTGAATTCATTATACAACTGGAGCAAATATGTGTGGGACATTTTCACGGTATTCACCCAACTTTAATTGTGATCAGCATAATTATTTAAAAAGTGTATTTCCTGCCTCACTGCAGTTTTCTATTTTCCACTTTTCAAAAAACTCCATATCTAATTTTTTTTAAATATTCCAAATTGTAAAAAAATTCCCTATTTAAGAAAATAACTAGAACTCCAACTAAGGGACCGGAATGTGTAGTATTTGCATACAGGGGAATCACTAGCAATCCATACATTGCTGGCCTTCCTTATTTTTGCAGGAAAGCAAGACTTTTTCAGAGAGGAGACAACACCCCATTTTTTCAGAAAGGGCTGTGGCTTTCTTTGTTTTGAAGCACCACAGCAAACTTGCTGCTGCCTTTTCTTGTCATTCTATGCAATTTAATTCTCCTCAGTGCATCTCTATTAGGCTAAACTGCATCCCAATCACGTCACTCACATATGCTTTTGCTTTGAATCCACTTGGACTGGGGGGGAAGGATTCTGTTTGACTTTGAGCATTCTAAACAGGGAGGCTAATATTTCAACTCAGCAGAAATGGCTGCTAATTTTAAACTACCAGTTTAATCTTTCTCTAGCAGAAACACACATTTTCTTCTACCATAAAATTTTCTCATAATAGAAATGAGACCGTTCCCAGGGGCGCGGTTACCAAAAGATAATCTCGCCCCAATCTGATTAGAGGCATGAGGTTCATGCCTCAAAATGCTCTAGGGTGTGATTATTTTAGGATAACCATACCCTGTATCATGGCTTATTGATTAACTAATAAAGCTTCAGTATTATTATTCAGAGGAGGGCTGAGATATCAGAGGAAGATCTGATTCTGGAATAGGAAAGATTCTTTCTTGCTAACAAACCACCTTTCTCCTGCCCTGATTATAACCTCGGTGTGAAATTATAGGGTCAATAGATGCCAGTTTTAGTTTCTCATTGGTGATTAGCTCACTGGTTTATTAAAACTGAAAAACACCCAGAAACATATTTATTTGAAGACAAATTTTCACTAGGACTATTCCCTTTCCATTTAAACTGCATATAAAG